GATGAAGCAGAGCGCGTGAGCGAATGAAAAAGCCGTCTGTTGCGCTCAGCTTATCAAAGACTTGTGCACAGCGTCGAGAGGTGAATGGAACAGCTCTGCGCGCGCGATTGTTAAGTCCTCGTCGTAGTGCATCAAGACGACATCCTCCTACTCCCAATTTGATCCATCCTTATGCCCCAGAATCAAAAGTCTCTCGAAACTTACCTCGACAAAGTTGCTTTGATACTTTTGATCCCTAGGAGCTATCAACCGATGCACCTCCCCCTTTACCCTCACTTGCTCATCATCCTCCATCGGAACGTAAAATTTGGACAGTCGAGATTTACCCTGCCTGTTCTGGATCAGAATGAATCGAATCATCGTTGCTGCGCTTGACGTGGACCTGCAAGCCGAAGGAGTTGTGCGATGGCGATAGCGATGGGCAGTCGTTTTGATTCACAGCTGCTCGGATGGGATACTGGACTGACCCTTTCAAGCCGGGGTCTGTGAAAGAGGAGATGCAGACGTCGACAGGTGGTACGGCTGATCAGCTTCGAGTAGAGATAGGTGATAGCCAGGTCAAGACGATGCAACGAATGTCATGGACAGGAGGAGCGCTAAAGGAATTTGAGTCTTGGGAAGGTCGACTTTCGCGAAGCAGACATCTCGGTCAAGAGCGCGCTTCACAGCAGCCATTGAGCCCACCGCCACGAGCCTCTAGAGACCAAAACGTCGTCGCGCGGCTGTGCTGCTGCTAGTCACGAGTGGGAAGGCGGTGCGCGACGCGGCGGAGCGCGCCAGTCGTGAGTGGCAAGTCTGCAGGCACGCGCAGCAGCAGCAGCACGGCCACCATTGGTGATTCTTGATCATATGTAGGAGTGTGCAGGCACGACAATCCAGCAGGCAACCTAGTGAGCGTGTCATTTCACACTACTACCACGCAATCAGCCTCGGATAGGCTCAGCAACTTTGCCTGAAAATCCATCCAGACGTGGCTCACCGAGGCCGAATCGCGGAAAAGAACAGTGGTTTGATATTACAGGGAAGGATCGATAGTTCCAGCCAGGAGCGCGTTCCGTCGGCGCCGGCTCGGCCACTCGCCATTCCTGGAGACAAGCGAATGCATACACTTTTGACAACTTTTGACGAGCATCTATCGAAGCAGCTCGCAGGCGTAGAAGACCTGAGCGGAGTAGTTCGTGGCAGTGCAGCACGAGGGTGAGCGTTACTTCGCCTAGCTACCTCGAGCGCACAGTCAGCGCACCTTGGATCGTGCGACGTCAAAGAACTCCGTAAAGACTGAGGGGAGAATGGATGGGGAACGCTCTCATCCGAGTCAGCATGCTCTAGAGACAGATCCACCTGTCCCGCCACGCACCGAAGCCTGCCGAGACGCACGAGAGGGCACCAGGTCAGCTTCGCGTGATCATCCGACGCAGCTCCATCGCTCACCATCGTGATAAAGCCGCCGAGCAACAGCATCGAAAAAGACGCGATGGAAAATTTGTCGACCTGGATCGCCTCGATAAGAATTCCAAAGGGTCTGTCTTCCGCCACTGCTGCTGCTATTCGCCATACTATCCCAGCCAGGTTGCCCGGCATCTTCGCGTACCAGATCATTACCGACTGCGCTGATAGCGTGCCTGCGCGCGTGACTTAGAGGAAAGCGAAATTCGATGCTGACTAGACGTTTTTCTCCTGGCCATAGATCTTTGAGGGCTGCATCCATGCGGTGAACCATTGCTTCGTACGTGATGCGAGCCAGAGACGCCGCGTTGACGCCTTCTTCCTCCGGTCGCGAGATGTCGGTCATCAGAACTAAAGTCGTCAGAAGCTGTGTCATACAAGGCACAGGGTCATGTCGGGGGATGATCGCTCGCGCAAGGACTTATCAGAGACTCACGCCTTCCATCTCGACCATCATGCTGCTGTCGAAAGAGCTGCGCTCGACTGGTGTCATATTGCGAAAGTCCGAGGCTTTTTCAAGGGCGTGTTGCAAGCGGTCCATACGGTACGCTTCGGCCAGTGTCACCATCAACCTGTGCTCTGCTCGGTTGAGTAGCGGCACTGGCAGACCACGGGATGATGGCGAGGGCGTTTGGCTGGTGCATCCTCACTGATCTATAAGGCTTCCACACACCCACTCACGCCTTGCGAAGCGCAGCCAGTGCAACAGCAACTTCATCTCGCACCATTGCAAGTCCAGAAAGAAAGGGCCCGGACCAAATGTAGCAGAGGCCAAAAGTCTAGAGCTCGTGGAATGGGTGCAAAGAGGCTCAGCAGGTCGTGCGCAAGACTCTATCTGATTGGAGACATTACGCGCACCCTTGATTCTCGAACAGCTCTTGAGGCGCACGAATGTCGGTGTCGATCAGACGGAGACAGATCCACCCTGCAGGTGCTTCTATCGTTGGTGCCTGCGAGGAGCGTCGAATCACTCCCTCGTCGCTAATGACGCACATATTCCCCGATACTCGAGGGGTATCCTGCAAGAGTGCGATCGAAAGTGGAGTCCGTCAGCGCTGAGAAAATGCGGGTATTCAGAGACGCTCACAGGTGCTTGATAAGGTGACGGTTGAAGGACAGTAGGCATGTGATGCTGCTCTTGCTGGTGCATGGCTGCCTCTCCGGCAATGTTGGCTAGACTGGGAGTCAGGCTTATACCCACCCCCAAGCTGCTTGCCGCCAGTGAAGATGCAGTGCCGGTGTGTAGGCCGTTGTTGCTTTGCAGAATGTCCGCGACAGTGCTATGCTCGCCCAAGGCTAATCCGGAGTAGGTGCTACTCGATACAGTCGATTCCCGCAGCAGGGGCAAGAAGGTGAGAGGAAAGCACATGAGCGAAATCTCGCAAAAGAGGTCATGAATGCAGCGTACTTGGAGGGCGGCACCTACCTGGAGCGACCACGACGTCCACTAGTGGAGGCACCATCGGCAGAACCCTCTGTAGAAGCCATCCAAGTATTGCCCGTTGAATCAAGCTTATGTTTCTTCTGTTGTGTGGTGATCGAGTCCTGGATGAGCGCAGACTGGGCTTCATCGGTCTCTATGGAGGCTGCGGCTACTTGCGCGTGCAAAGCAGCGGTCTCCATACCTAGCGAGCGTTGCGACACCAACTTCTAAAGGAGCTGGGGTGCCAAGGGGAAAATATTTAGAGCAGATCAAGATGGTGCGCGGTCGATGGAGGTGATCGCACGAGTTGGCGAGGGCTCGTTCGGAAAAGCCAAGCCTTCAAACCTTCTTTCTTGCAAGCCGGCGGTCCGGCTTGAGGTTGCCTCGACCCCGCGCCGTTCGCGCTCGATGGCAGCCGCTGTCTTCCTTTGGAGAGGTAATTCTCACTATGCGGGCGCAGCAGCGCGATGACACAGCACCTTGACTGTGAAGGTGACTCAGCTTATTGTGGCTTTCATGGTGTCACGTACGAACGCGTTCAGAAGAACATCGTCGTGGACTCGAGTCTCGCGAAGCAACAGGCGACAGAGCTCTACACCGATTAAGTCACTCACGACTACAATGTTTTTGAGTCGTGATCGAGTGCGGCAGTCACGAGTCTTGAGTACGACTGCACACACAGCTCATCAATTTTCAAAATGAATCACCAATGTTCGCCCTCTACATCAGCAGCTACAAAATGACTGTTACATGTAGATACGCCACGGCAGAGGAGAGCAAGGCGCAGCGTCAGCTTGTGTAATTCAACCGATTCGCGCTTTGCATCCACATTCCGCGATGCCAAGGTATTCATACGCGACGACGACCGCAATCAAATCTGATGGCGTCCCGCGGCTGATCATGTGTATATATATATATATAGGCAATACGCGGCTTGCTTGTCTCACAGCACACACACACCCGCTTCGCGTTCTTCAGCCGACCCAACGCCTCGATCGCGCGGGCATAGATTGGCGTCTCAAAGTATATATAGGTGTCGGCGATCTGAAGGCGTGCCCGTGTTCGCGCCATCTCCTGTACCGGTATGAGGTGTCAGCTAAGAGTCACGAGTATACTGATCAAAAGACTCACGACTGGCGCAGGAGGCACCGCGCGTCGAGAAAAATTACGCTGATGCTGAGGTTCGCTACAACGATTCCGTTCAAGATGGTTGCTGAGTACTTCTGATGGCGTCAGGCCAGGGAGCTCGTCGCTCGCTCGCCGACCGTGCTGCGTCATGCGCCAGTCAGCTGCGCCTTGAGTCAGTCTCTGGTTTCGATTGCTTGATCTAACTGAAAGCCTGCTGCGCTCAAGTCGCTGCGCGTCTACATATAGGTCGAGACTGCTGCTGATATACCCATGATGGGCCGCCTCTGAAGCATCAAAGTGGGGGAATTGCAGGCCTTATTTGGAGGAAGTGAGACGGTGTTCGTCTCTCTCAGCCATCTTCCTCGACGTGAACTCACACTCGAAACTCATTACACTACTGCAGCCCCCTATGCCGTCAAATCGCCGAAAGCTGGCTTCAGTTCATATGCCGTTTCGATCGTGAAAAAGCCAAACGGGAACGATGCGAAGAAAATTTGGTGGGCCAGCCATCCAAATTGTCTTTACAAATGCGTTCGACTCACCGTCTAAGTCAGCAGTGTGTATTCAAGATTGTAGGCAGCATTCCAATACGCGCTCGGCTTAATGTCCGGGACCACAGGTAGCACGGAAAAAAGTCCGAAGCCACTTCGTACACTGATGATCATGATTGAGCGGTGGTGGTGGAGTGTCAGTGTGAGTATGCTTTTCAGTGTTGGCTTACCGTTATTGCCGCACACCTACACGCATAGTCAGAGATGCCGCTCTAGTGCCTCTCGAGCATGAACGTACTGCGACTGCTGACTGCAACCCAGTCACAAAAGTCGTGAGTGTCTCGCGAATAATGAAGAATATCTTGATGAATCGTCAAATGCATGTTAGAAGTACGCTAACCCCCCATCCACGGCTTTACCGACAGCAGGCGTGCAGCCGCCGGGAGCCCTGATGACTGTGTGTGCAGAGGGATAACGGATGTGGAGGCGCAGGCGTCTTCACTGCGTAGACCCCGCTAGAACGCCAGCTTGCGGTACTGACACCATTGTCAACACCCTCCAACCCAAGGCTCACAAAGGGTAGCCGCTTTGAATAACGTGTTCATGTGTCACGCCATCTTATCGAGCTCGATCGGTGCAAAGACACGCAAGAAGTTGAACTTAGACATTTGAAAGTCGCTCTATCGATTAATTGCTACATTTCCAAGACCTTCAGCTGGCATGTCCATTCCGTCCACTCAGACAGCGTGGCACCTGCCAGAGGTGTCTCAGCGCAACAGCCCGTCGGCATTGAAGCAGGTCAAGGATGCCAAAGTGAAGCAGCCTGGACCAGGAGAGGTCTTGATCAAGGTGCATGCCGTCAGTCTCAACTACCGCGACTTCAGTAAGTGTGTGGTCAGGCTCGAAGGGACGCGTACACCCTTTGCTAGAACGTCTCATTCCTTGCAGCTGCTGAACAGATCTCCTGGTCCATACCTGCGCGCAGTGGTGGTTACTGGCAGGTATCCATCTCGTGTTGTGAAACATGAAAACCTCATTCCTACGTCAGACGGCGCTGGAGAGGTCGCAGCTGTTGGTGAGGGCGTCAAGAGATGGGCTTTAGGTGATCGCGTGTCTCCCAATTTCTCGACTGCTCACATCCGAGGTGGTGAGTTCAAGAAAAAGGTGGGCTAAGCGCCCGGATCCAGAGGCGCTATTTCGCCCCGACGCGGTACGAGTATAGTAACGCAAAGCCTTCGCGACAGATGTGCCAAGCGATGAGGAGATTTTGAGTGGTTTGGGTGGCGCTCAAGACGGGATGCTGGCGCAGTATCGAACTGTACGTAAAGAATAGAGCAGAGCGCGTGACACACTGGGTGTGTTTTCTCACACGACACTACTCACGCCCGTAGCTCCCCGAAAGTTCTTTGGTCCGCATACCCGGTGAGCGATTGAGACCAAAAGCCCGTACACACCGCGCTCACGATGAGAAGTCCCTTTGTCAAAATGCAAAGATTATTTGTCTTACGAAGAGGCTTCGACCCTTCCATGCGCCGCATTGACCGCTTACAACGCCCTATTTGGGCTGGCTGGCACCCCTCTAAAAGCCGGCGAGACGGCAGTGTTGGAGGGCACAGGCGGTGTTTCAGTATTTGGTGCACAGATCGCTCTCGCCGCAGGCGCAGTCGCTGTGATCACGTCGAGCAGCGACGAGAAGCTCGCCATTGTCAAGAAGAGTATTCCGCAGGAGCACCAGAGCCGTCTGCACTTGCACAATTACAGCAAGGTGAGTTGGTAGCAGGTCGCTCCGAAGGAAACCAGGGAAAATTGACGGCCCCCTTTAATCGAACAGGACCCCGATTGGGCGAAAGCGGTCAAGAGTGTTTCAGGTGGCATTGGCGCCGCTCGCGTCCTGGACGTCGGAGGCAGCGGCACCATCACCAAGGCCTTCGAGTCGGTCCGCCCTGGTAAGCTTTTCCTGGCGAATGAAGTTCCTGCGCGTACTCATCCGACGTGACTTGCTTTGACAGGGGGTGTCGTCAGCGCCATCGGCATCATTGCCAAGGGCAGCGCAGAGGGCGATCTTGGAACTCTGATCCGTAATTCGAGAGGCATCTACGTGAGTGTCTGCTCAGCTCTTCATCTACTGATAGACGTCAAGTATCTGACTCTGAAGTGACCATTTTCGGCGGGTCGTCCAGGCCGGCATCATCGTCGGATCGCGCGAGCTCTTCGAGGAAATGAACGTGAGTCGGCGAGCGAGCACAGTCAGCATGACGAAAGAGGCTGATACGCCTGCCATACTATCTCTCCGCCACGACGAAGCGTCTCTTTGAGGCTCACCAAATCAAGCCACTGATCGATCGAGTCTTCCCCTTCGACCAAGCTGTGCAAGCTTACCAGCATCTCGAATCTCAGAAACACGTCGGCAAGATTGTGATCAGGGTGGCTTGATCTGACAACCTGGTCCAAGACGTGCCAGCATCGATTACTAGGTTCATCAATTTGGCTCGGATCTCTCGCACAGCGCAGGCGCCGCATCACCCCTTATTCCGCGCCCGTGGACCCCTTTCCTACTGCGTCTGGCATACGGAGGTGGGATGCTGACGTGGCCGAGCAATTTCGAATCGACCCATCAAGATGTCGGCTGTGCGCTGTAGACTCAGTATTGAGCCCCGTATATCAGCTTTGTTGGTCGCGGAGGTGTCCGGCCAACAAAGTGGGCAGGTGGGACTGATGAAGCGGGAGTCAAGAGTCGAACAGCCTTCAGGCGAGGTCGATCGGTCAGGCTTGTTTGGGTGGAGAGAACACGCGCGGATGCGTCAACACCATTCAAGATTATAACGTGCCACTGCGGACAACCTTGAAATCAACGTTTCAGATTAAGATTGTGGTCCAATTCATAATTGTTGCCATTTCAAATTTTATTTCTTCACCCCATGAAATCTTGAATCTTGAATCTAAACAACGAATGGGTTGATAAACGCGTGAAATTGGCTGGCCGCATCATGGCGCGACGCGACGTGCTGTGATGCATGGCGCATACACATGCATGCCTGCCGCCGATATAACGCTCAGAGGCTGCGTATATGGCCATCAGCAGGAAGAAGGAGGAAAAAAAAGGGAAAAAAAGAGGCCAAGTCTTGCCTTCTACTGCTGCACGTATAGACCCGCGGGCGCTCGCTCCACCATTTGATACGCGATCTTGAAATGAGCCCGCCTGCAGGGCCGGTCGCGGGTCGGAGCGCTTTAGCAGGAGCAGCGTGATGTGACCGCTGCGGTGGAAGTGCTCGCGCATACAGCAGCGTATATGTCTCACTCCTGATTCGCATTCACCATCGCAGTCGTCACACCCAGCATCACATCACCTGCCCGCACATCATCACACGGCACAATACACATCTTTTGCCCGTCCCACGCCTGTCAGCAATCCGCACATCACTGCATGGCTAATGCGCACTTTAATGATACACGCACAACCCTGAGCTCTGGTCTCTCCTCTTCCTAGCCATTCACGATTGTTCAAAGCACCTGCATTCGTCGCCAAATCATTGAGGGTTGCAAGACCCGCACTGCTCGGGCAGATGGCGCATCCAGGGCAGATGCACCAGCGACCAACAGAAGGTCAGGTCAAGACGCATCGTGAAGGAGCTAGCAGCGCAGTGGGCACCAGCGCCAATGGTCAGACTTCTGCCGCTCTCTCTTGGGCTTCTTTGGAGGATCACACTCACGTAGCTTCGCTTTTGGCAGACTTCGTCAGCGATAGGGATTTGTTCAGCTTGATACAGTGGGACGAGGTGGATAGACTGGCCAAAGCTTTGACGCGGGATCGACGCTTGGCGAAGGCGTGCGAAAGTTGGAAACTTCGACCTGCGCAGGGCCAACATCTGGTGAGTTCCGTCAGCACCCAAGCATCTCCGTGCACGATGCGAATCTGACCCGCAAGCTGGCGCACCATTCTTCAGGCAAAGCTTGCGCTTTGCGATGTACATTTTGCCCTTCCAGCGGAGCTCAATGATGATGCGGCGGAAGCTCTGTTACCGCTCTTGAGCCGCGTGTCAGCCATCACGGCTTCTTTTCTAGATGGCGATGATCTCCACTCGCAAGACGGAAAGCCCAGTGTCACCTTTCGTCATGCTGACAAGCAAGAGATTCACGCCGTGCCCTCCGATACCGAGGCTCTCCGGCCTCTGCTTCTCAGTGGCGCGTCAGCCAGCACCTCCCGAAACGCCGCATCTGCACAGCCTGCCAGCAGCTCTCTAGCACATACCTTTAGGACCTCCTTTGAGCAAAGTTTGCTTTCGAGAGCGAAAGAGGGTACCTCAGCTCGGCCGAGTCTCTATGTCATCGTGCTGGACAGAGTGCCGCCAGAAGGCGACGCGGCATGCACCGAGCTCGTGCAAGCGATAGGGGACAGCAAGATGGAGTTGAGTCAAGCTGGTGTTGGAGAGGGAGCGATGAGTGTCGAGGTAAGTGTCTCCGGCGTGCTCGGAGACGTTTGCACCCATGGGCTCATCCCTCCGAGACTATCGCACGCATCAGATTGTGTCCCTGGGAGGCGGGGAGCCTCTGAGGCAGTGGCTTTCGCGGACGCGTGAAAACGGCGATCTTCACAAGAAGCTCTTGGTCACGCATCTGCCGGCGTCGGCCATGCTCGCAGCAAGTTCTGAGAGCAGCTCAGCGAGTCTTGCTTCGAATACCGTGCTGCCCTCTGCAACGCTCCTGACGAGCTTGAAGTCCTCTGCCGAAGTCGAGCACAATGCCGAAAACGCCGAGCTGCGCAGCGTGTTCGAGGCTGCGCGTCAGGCAGCGACCGGGACGTTTGATTCGCAGCGCACGGGCCCGCCAACAGGTCCGCGATCCGGCCGCAGAGGTGCAGCTCAAGTGGCAGGTGCGCCGAGCTCTGATGCAGAGGAAGGAGATCTGGGAAGTGCATTGGCGGGCGCAAAGCTGAGCACAAAGAAAAAGGAATACTTGTCTCGAGTTCCTTGCAAGTTCTTTCGATCGCAAGGCTGTTCAGCTGGGGACGCTTGTCCTTTTGCTCACATTACGCCCGGTGAACCGACGAACAAGCCTCAGTGTCAGTGGTTCCTGAAGGGAAACTGTCGCTTTGGACACAAGTGTGCTTTGTTACACACCTTGCCAGGTCAGCCCATTAGTGTGAGTGCCAAGGCTGGACTGCCCTACTGTGCCAAACGAGGAATCAGCTGACCAGTTCCGGACTTTTGCCAAGCAGATGGACCGCAAGAATAAGCGTGCTATACAGCAAGGGGGCAACGCTGCTGCATTGGCTCAATCTCACGCAAGGCTCCAAGGCGGCATAGCAGGTGCCATTCCCAACCCCGACCCACGCTGGGTTCAAGGCGACTTTCCTGGACAACCCATGGCACCGAGTGCGAGTCAAAGCATGGACTTTGGAGCGTTGGCAGCTGCATATGCTGCGCAGCAGCAGCCGCCACAGCCGCTCATGCAAGACCCCTCTGGAAGGGGTCGACATCAAGGGCACTTGTCGATGGGTCATCGCGATTTCGATTTCCCATTTGGTGTACCGGACGACCTCCAGGGTGTGGCTGCATCCAATGCCGCGGCCGTCCAGCACGAGCCAAGTCTGGGCGCATACACACAACAGCCCGCAAGAAGAGACCTGGTCGCGGGTGAGTTGCGCAGCACGCCTCCAAGGCCGCTTTCCGTGCCGCGGGCCTCTCACGGAGGTGCGGAGCGGCCGACTCTAATGGAGCGCACGCAAGGTCTGAGCGTAGATGGGATGGGTCATCTGAGTAGCCCGCCGTCCAGTCGTGCATTCGGCACGAGTCCCTTCAGCAACGGCGGTGCTCAGAGCGTTTTCTTTTCCGGCAGCCAGGATTCCGAGGGAGGCGCCGGACCATTTGGAAGAGCGCCTCACAGTGCACGCAGCTTTGCAGCTGAGCCAACATCTGCTTGGCGCAGCAGATTCCAAAACGGTGCAGCTGAAGGAGCTGAAGATGGAGACGACTCTGCGCTGAATGAAGAAGACTTTTTGCCTTCGAGCTTGTCAGACCTGCTCACGCCTGCGGAGCTCGAGCGCAGGAGGAAAAACGTCCTGCTGGCGGCAGCGGCTGGCAAGCTGCCTGGACGGTCTTCTTCGAGCGCATCGCGAAGCATGCCTGCACATCATGATGCCGATCTTGGCGCCATTTGGCAAATGGGACTGATGAACGGTCGTGCGCAACAGAAACTCGAAGATGAGATCGCGGCGCTGGAGCGCGCTGCAGCGGCCGCCGAGCAAGGCTCCGGCACGCTCTCGCAAAGTCAACTTCGAAGTCAGCTGTCCATTCTAGCTGCCCAACAACGATCTCTGATGCGCCAACAGCCGCCGCACTACAATCACCATTCCCAAACAACACCACGCCCAGCCAACACTCGCGCACAGCGTTCCTCAAGCAATCTGAATCCTGCTGCCGAATTGGCTTCCGAGCGTGAAAAGGCATCTAGCCTCTCGGAGGCTGATGCCAGGGTCGCTGCTTTGCTGAGCACCCTCCAAGCTCAGTTCGCCTCGCAGCAGGCCGGAGCAAACAGCTACAGTCCTGGCCTTCATGCGGCCCTTCACGCACCCGGGCAGAGCCTACCTCAAGGTCTCGCGGCCGGATTCTCGCGACTACACTTGGAGCAGGCGGGAGCAAAGTTGCAGACTGCGAGCGGCAGTGGCAGTCAAGCAGCGTCTGGCCCTGCCTCGCAGATCTCGGGTCGTCAAGCAGTACCCAAACAATCAGACTTGGGTGCCAACGACGTGCGCAGTCTGCTTGGCCGCAAGCCTTCTGCGCACGGCTCGCTTGGACCCTCCGAAGGCTACGACTCTGACTTGGGACCCACCGCGCCTGGCTCCTTGTTGGCTCATCGAGCCAATCCACTCAATCTGGCCATGGCCAGGTCGATCGGAGCACAGAGCGCTCTGGGCCAGTCGTACGATGCAAGCTTGCACGGCAGCGGTCCAGGTTCAGCACAGCACAATGGACACTTTTCCTCCTCCAACAACTCTGTCCGACGAGCGACGCCCGGCGCGGCTTCTCCCGGTCCGCAGCAATCTCAGGATCGGTCGGACGGATCGGGAATCGCAATACCTTCTTCTGGCGCCGCGCCTGCCTCTCCTGGAGCTCAAGCGCTGGGCGTCCCAGGCGCTGGCGCCGCTGGCAAACACTCGAGCCTGCACCGCGTAAGAGGAGGCGCGCACTCGACAGCACAAGCCAGCCCTCTGGCTTTGCCATTGCTGGGGGAGGAAGTCGACGAACCGCTCTTCGAGCTGGAATGAGCAATCTTCATCAAGCCTGGCTCTTCGGCCTCGCATCGTCGTGTCGGATTTGGGTCTTTTGCACGTACCACCAAGTAACGCGTCACCTTTTTTCTTGTCCAACGTCGCTTGTATTTGACTCTTACTTGCCTTGCGACCCTGCAAAAGAATATGATGATTGCGGACAGCTCACCGCACAATGTGCGCGCTGATCCGTGTGCCAAGCGCCTAGTCTACGGGCCTTCTTCGGGAAGAGCCTTACCAATCGCTTCTCGAGCTCTTTGATCTCGCTCAGAGCTTCAAGTGCCAAGTGATCAGATCTCACACGGAAGACACCAGCCACTTTTTTCTTGACAGTATTGGCATTACGAAAACACTCATAGGCCATAACGTTGCTCCAGTCTGCAAGGATGAGTTGCGCTTGGTCAGTCTTAGAGATCATCTCATTGGCGCGTGAGATGCTTAGCGTTTACTCACCTCTGAGCAATAAGTGAAGGGAATTGCGTTCTTTGCGTTTGCCCTGTATGCGACGGAGCCAGGTTGGAACTCAGTCGTGTAAGCCCCCGCCTTTGCGCGCGAGAGCGAGGAATAGGGAGTTCGCAGAAGCGACTGTCGGCGCACGACTTACAATTTGGACCAGCCATTTCTTTGAATCCATTCAGAATGCTGGAGAATTGGTCGTTCAACGCTTGGGAAGGCGAGGTCCAGCGCTGCGATGACGCCGATGTGGCCAAAGTCAGAAAGGTTGCACCACGGAGCGCAGACGTCAAGAAGCTACTCACGACGACGGCATTGCAGAAATACACGAAGCCTTTGGCAGCTGCGGAGCGGAGCAGAGCAGGGCGAAGAGGAAGTGCAGAACGAATGAGCTTACTTGCTCCAAGCACCTCGCACTTGGTACTGAAGCACTGACCGCCATTAGGGTTGGCCTGTATCATGGCACAGAGACCTCTAAACGCAGAGTCTTTCTCGTCGTTGTCCTTGATGTCCCACAAGGCCTGACACCACTGTTCGATGAACTGTTCGAGATGGGGAGCGACGAGGGCAGGGCAGACGAGTCCAATCCTGCCGATGGTGACAGCCGCATTCTCCATCAAGCTCTTCGGACTCTTGGTGCTCATCAGCACGGGAATCAGCCTTTCCGTCAAGGAAGGGATCCATTGATGCAGCTCGCTAGTATCTTGACCTTGATACTGAAGCGCAATTTCTCCGGCTGCCCAGGTCGCGTTGTTGCAGACGCTAACGCTCTCGCTTGGAGGGTCCACAACGATTTGAGCTATCAATTCCTTCATGATCGAAGGCAATTGCGGTCTCAGAAGACGGAACGCGCAGATTGCCAAATCGCCCAGCAGCGCATATGCTGACTGACGGACCGGAGGATCGGGATTCTGAGAGAAAGGGAGAGCATGTTGTGTGAGTCGGCGCCAGGCGCGTCGGAGGCCACGGTGGGCAGACTTACGGTCAAGCATGCACCAAGCAGAGGCAGCAAAGAAGGGTTTGACTGCTCGATGAGTGGTTGCACATCCGCACCCAGGCCTTGCGTCAAGCCGCTGAGCAGATCCAACGCCACGATGATGAACGTCCGATTTGGCATCTCCTGTTCGTCAAGGGGTTTCTGCGCTTCTGCCTGCGCAGCGACGAGGTTGCTGTGAACGAGTCCTACGCATCGTTGAAAGACGGGTGGGGAGTAGGGCAAGAAGCCGGGGCCTACAGCAATGGTGACAGATGAAAGGCACTCGAGCAAAGGAATAAGATCCGCATCGCCGTCGTCCAAGCTTTGCCACTTGCTGATCAGAGGTGGCATGATGATTTCCACATATTCTGGGCGATTCAATGCCGATTCGACGCAGTCGGCCAACGTCCCGATAGCGTCGTAGAGGATGAGCAGATTCTTTTGCTGATACTTGTTGAAAGCAAAGACCAGTGTCTTGAGGATCGGCTCCAAGAAGGGCTGCAAGCTCGCGCCAGCTTCCTCTTCCAACGTTGCAAAGGCGCTGCAGCCAGCCTCTTGGACGCGCTTATTCCTGTCGAGCACCATGCCCAGCAGTCCTTCCATGGCTGGCAAGAAATATTGCTGTTGATGCTCGGGCGTTCTGGTGCCCACGGTCCACGACGAGTATCTGCCGAGCGTCCAGCAGGCAATGGACCTCACCAAAGGCTTGGGGTGCTGCAAGCTATTGATGAGAAAAGGTACGAGCTGCGGCAAATGTTCATGTATACCAGCAATGCAACCCTCAGCAATGGCACCGAGAGCCAAAATACCTGCTTCACGCTGAAGCCAATCATCCGAGAAAAGGCGCTCCTTCAAGTAGGGCAACAAGATTTGCAGCAGCTCATTGCCGAATTGCACAGCCATCACGTCCAGAGCTGCGGCCGAGCATTTTCGCAGGTTCCACTCGCCCGATCCATCATCGTCGCTATCATCCTCGTAATCGTCTTCGTCATCATCATCCTCGTCGTCGTCCTCATCTTCAGCTTCCAAAGCGGCGCGCGACATCTTGCTGCCACCAGCGCCGTTCTGCTCGGCTTCGTCGACGTGCTCATTACGCTTTGTTGCACCACCGTAATGCTTCGGCTTGATGTCTTCTGGCCTGTCCGGCTCCGCCTCATCATTGTCGTCTTGGTCGGCACCCAGGATGAGCAAGTCAATTTCGCTGTACACCATGCTTTTGAGGAGGACAGGTGCGACTGTTGGCAAGTATGGTCGAAGATGATCGCTGAGCTGAGGGTCTTCGGAGAATTGCAGCCAGAATTCGCAGGCCTCCAGTGCAACCTCGTCATCTTTATCCGCCGTGCAGTAAAGCATGTAGTCGACCACACCCGACAGCTGTGGCAAGAGCTTATCTGGCCTAGCGCCGAGGATGAGAACTATGGCTTGACATACGAAGCGTCGCACCGAGTCGTTCGGGTCGCTGGAGCGCTCAAAGAGCGCCTTGATGTAGAGGTCTAACTGCTCCTGCAGCGCTGCTGATGACGCAGATATGAATTGGTTGAGACAGTTCAGGGCATGGCATCTGACCAGCGGATCAGGATGATTCGTGGCTTCCAAAAACTTGGGTATCAAGATCTGCAAAGGTCGCATGCCGTTGATTTCGCATTCTTCAATCTCTTTGGGAATGTCTTCGCACATCTTGGCCAATGTGCTGAATGCTCCCTGTCGTCCAGCATGGGCCGAATGAGCTTGCTTGGCTTCAAAGTAGCCGTGATCGCCAGCAGCGCAACTCACCTCGCAGCCCTTGGGATGCTGTGAAGTCATCAATGATATCAACTGCTCCAGCCCCTCTGGCCAAGACTCTGGTCGATAAATTTCCATGATCATCGAGACGACCTGGGTGGAAGTCCGCCTAAGCATATCCTCTTCCAAAGAAATCGCAGGAAGGATGGCCGCCTTGACGTAGGCGACGCTGTCCGGCTGCAGCGTCTGGCTGTAGTTCAGAATGTGGTTCTTGAGGATGAGACCTGCGATGGATCGCGTGTTCGTTTCCTCCTGAGGCATTTGCGTCAAGACGTATACAAGGTAATTCGCATAGTCTGGGATCTGCCGCAATGTCTCCAACCTCTGCGATGAAACCGTTTCAACGATCAGAATGACAGCCAAGAGGGCGAGTCGGTAGCCCAGATTGCAACGTAGCACACCTCGGACGACGCTTGCTGCGACTTCCTATCCGCCCATTCTGCACTCACATTGGCGATGTGTATTTGCACATCCCGGTCAGGATTCTGCGACTCTCTGAAGAGCCCCAGCAGCTCGCTCAAGCCATCCTGCTGGGGTGTCCAGCTGGCGGCCGCCATGATGTCCGCCTTTCAAGAGCTCGCTGTAGGACAGACTGAATCGCAGCTCAGTCCCAGGTGGGCCGATGTATTGTGCGAGAAGTAGAGGCCTCGCAAGCTTGCGCGCCTACGAGCGGTCTCGAGCCCGGCGCTGGGTCGGGGTCGGAGCAGTGTTCGGAGATGGCAGGTTAGAAGCTGCGGCTTGCGACACCTCTGTCCAAGGCCCTGGGCGACTCGACCTTGGCAAGGGCGAGTAGCGGGTGATGGATGTACAGGTCTGCGCGTCGTGTCGCAATGCCAACAGCCGCAGACGTACGGGGTGCACCTCCACAGACTGGCAGCAGCAGGTTTCGATTGCGCTCTGTGACGAGCAAGGTTGGTCAGCGTCTGTGGAGATGGTGTGCTGGGAGAGCTGAACGACGCGACTGAAGAGATTCGCTTCTAGAGGGGGCTTTTCTCAGATTCTTCTCGCGCCAAAGCTTCGAGACGCAGCTAGCTTGCTTGCTTGTGTGCGCGGCAGGCTGGCGAGCTGGAGATCTACACCAAAGGTCAAGAATGTCGGTTCCCAAGGACACAGCCTGCTAAATTTTGAATGTGTTGATTGGGAAGACTCAGACTGTCCAAGAACAAAGTACAACCCACGACTCAAAATCTCGAGACTTGACGGCCCCCCGCCTATCGAGAAAGGCTCGAAATACAAATTCAAGATTACTGCTGCAATCACGAATAATGACGAATCCGCCGAAACAGAATCAAAATCAAATGCAACAATTTGAATACTGTAAGAGCTTTCTTTTGCGTCGATCCATCCAGCAGCAGCGAAGCAGCGCGAGGAGCGCGCAGCACCGGCAGCGGCAGTCGCTCGCATGCAGCTGATGAGCCGCATGCCGCTGCAAAGCAAACAGCCGCAACCATCTTGAAATCACAACGGTCACGAGTACAGTGTAGAGTGTTAGTTTGAGAGTAGAGTCAAAAGGTGCAGCGCGATAGTAGTCACGAATCGATCGATCGCTCGCCTCGATCGCGCAGCCAGCGATCAGCCATGATACCGGCGCATGAGTTCCGCCGGCGGGACTCGACTGTACCCCCTCGTGACTTGTGACTATCCCACTGACATTTTTCCTCCACTGGCATAATACTAACAAATTTTAAAGGATGATATGTAGCTATCCGTCAACATCGCTGCATTTGCAGCATAGATCACGCGAGTGTGAATACGCGAAACAAATCGCAATCAATGTGAATGTGAATCACAATCATCGAATCACCAATTCAAGATTCAAGATTTTTAATTTTGAATGCATCAATCCCGAATGAAGAAATCAAAAGTCGATGCGATGCGATGCGCCTTTCCGAATACGTGTTGCTTTCTCATCCCTTCACTCTTAACTGCTGCATGCTCATGCGCGTGATTTTTGACTCTTGTGACCGCCGCGCGTACGTGCAACAAGGGCGAAAAACTATTCCATAAAAGCGCACCGCGCCCGCGCACGCAGCAGGCACCGCACCGCCAATCACGAATGCGCCGCGCCGCGCGTCTTGCTGGCGCGCACATGATGCACGCAGCCAGCAGCAGCCACGGCACGGCAATGAAGGCGAGCATGCAGGCGAGCAGGCAGGAGTCATCATCCATCATGCGCGCAACGTTGCAATCCTCTTTGATCCTTCTCAGAGGCGCTGTAACCTTTGCCTACAAGTATTTTCATGTTAAGCGTTGTCGTCCTCACGTCACGATCAGGATACCGCTACCGATAGTCAGGTGAGCAAGTCGGAGCACCTCATCAGTCGATTCTAAATTCACACACACCACTCGCAAGTAGAGAGAAAGCTATCCATTTCGTGAGCGCATCGTCACCACATTGTATTTTGAAACGTCGGTACTACGAAGCGAAGGAAGTCGTCGTGCGAGAGGCGTCGGATAGGTGCGCAAGGTCGAGTGATCTTCGTCTACTGCTCGTTGACGATCAAACTTGCCATGCCCATGCCGGTTCCCACGCACATGCTGGTGACGATGATCTTCTTGTTCTCGCGCTTCGCCTCTGCCAACGCGGTAGCGATTTGACGAGATCCGGTTGCACCAAGAGGGTGCCCGAAAGCAATGGCACCACCCACAGGGTTGACCTTCTTGTAGTCCAGACCCAGCTTCTCGATCGAGTAGACGGCTTGAGAAGCGAAAGCTTCGTTGATCTCGTAAATGTCCACATCCTCCTTCTTGATGTTGGCCAGCTCGAGAACCTTGGGAATGGCGAAAGCGGGTCCGATACCCATGACGTTGGGGGGGACACCAACGACAGAGGCAGTGACGAACTTGCCGAGGATGGGCAGACCGAGCTTCTTGGCGACGCTGCGGCGAGCCAAGAGAACGGCAGCTGCTCCGTCGCTGACCTGAGAAGCATTTCCGGCGGTGGTGAAACCGTTCTTGTCAAAAGCGGGCTTGAGCTTGCCAAGAGATTCAGCAGTGACACCGTCACGAATGCCATCGTCGCTGTCGACTGTTCGGTCATTGCCCTCGTCATCAGTGTACTTTACAGTGACAATCTCGCTGTGAGACAGAAAGTGAGAAGATTAGCGATGTCTTCAAGGCGGCTCGTGGGGGCACAGAAAAGATGGCTCACCTCTTGAATTTGCCATCCTTCTGAGCCTGAGCGGCCTTCTTGTAGCTCTCTGCCGAGAACTTGTCCTGGGCCTCGCGGGAGATGCCGTACTCTTTGGCGACATTCTCGGAAGTGATACCCATGGGCGCCAAGCAGTCAGCAGCCTCGTCGTTCTCCATGACAGCATCTGACATCTTCTCCGGCATGACGCCAGCTCCGTAGTGGAGAGTCATGCTCTCAACACCAGCACCTGCGATAGTCCAGTTCGAAATGCTCGTCAGCGACCCATCGCTTCTTACTCGCGCTTCCAACACACTTTCCGATGAGCTTTTGGGGATCACTACTCACCGATACCAATGTCGATCTGTCCAGCCTTGATCTCGTTGGCAATCTGGTTGACCGTGGCAAGACCGGAAGAGCATTGCCTGTTGACAGTGTTGACTGCAGTAGTGTTTGGCAAGCCGGCCCAAAGGGCGCCCATGCGTGCGACAGTAGCACCACCGCCGGGGGGAAGGACATTGCCTATGATTCGTGCAGCGTAATCGCCACAAGAAGTCAGCCAAGAGCCTCGTTGAGGATGGAGATCTGCTGATAGGGACTCACCGACGGCGACATCCTCTACAAGCTTGGGGTCAACTTTGGACTGAGCGAGCACGCCCTTGATGACATTGCCGAGCAATTCCTCGGGGGCAGCCTGGGAGAGTCCACCCTTCTTCGCCTTAGTCAGGGCGGTGCGGAGAGCGGAGACAATGACGACTGCGACAGAGACCCAAGGCGAGCACACTGGGCTCAGCATACAAAGATGCAAAAAGTGCCTGGGTAGTGGCTTTGCGATCGTGACGACTCACCATCGTCGTCAGTCTTGGACAAAACAGCGTCCTTTCCTTTTTGAATCTGAATAGCAGACATCGTGTAGTTGTTTGGGGGATGAGTGAAATGTGATAATTGGTGGGGCTTGTGGTGGTGAAGGGAAAGGTGAAGGAGATATGGATGATCCTCATGTATCCGCTCTTCTCTTTCCTCCCTTACTCACGCCGCCGCACGATCTACGCCTGCCTGTGCCACCCGCCCGGCTCTTCCAACGACTTCATGCCGTTACGCCCGGTGCGTCGTCATCGCGGATCGATTGTCCAGAGCTGTGACATGCTAGCAGCTCACATGAAACGGCATGCCCATCTGATGCATCCTTGCATGCGTGTGAGAGAGCCTCCGCATCTTCAGCAGCTGCGCTCTCCTGTGGAGGCGGGGATCGGGGGGCGACGACACGAGCAACTTAGCCCCTCTGGTGCCACCAATAATGATCGAGCGGCAGCTGCACAGACCCATGCACCTCGATCTGGCTCGCACCTCTTGGGTGTTGAAAGCTGACGCGGCAACCCGGGCCGGGAACGCGCCGGCGCGAATTGATGAACCACGTGGTAGAGTCGGTCCTGCTTGTCATCTCACGTGATGCGACATAGGACGCGTCAGAAAAGAGCGCATGCGCATGCATGGGTTTCGCGTTCAACATCCATCACACCGCGCGCATCCAGCGCGCGTCATGCGGCGCGGCTTTGCTGCCGTGGTTGGTTGCGCAATCTGGTCCGCAACGGTGATTCTTCGGACTGACGGACGTTGCTGTCGATCAGGTAAGTCCATGAGTGTTGAGCGAGATCATGCGCACACATGCTGCACCCCGCTGAGGACTCTTCGAGCCTCTGGTGCTAGCCGCTGTTCAGACCAGTAAGTATAGGGTGACATGACGAGATCGACGAGCTGCATGGATCTGCAGATTGCAGCTCGCTGGATGCGCTGGGATGCGCTGATCACAAACATGTGCAGGTGCAAGCAAGCTCTTTGCTTGGGCTCTGGCTTAGAAGCAGTCACAGTCCGAGTGGATGTAGATCTGTATACCAATGAATTGAAGCGTCCGTCGAATCTCAATGTGGGGCGGCTAGAGATGTGATCACGACCACCGTCATTCATCACCGCCCACGCTGCTCTGTGATCGTCGCTGGACGTTGCTGAACCGCTCCGGATCTATATAAGCATACAGCAGCAGCACACGTATACAAACTCAAACGCCCGTGCGGTAAGACTGCGCACGGCAAAGTGTTGGTCTGTGCAAAGCTTGTCTCGCGCCTGCACACAGACTGCGAGGTACGTTCCAAACACGCGGGCGCGTAGAGCATTGCGCAACGCTCACTTGCTGGAGTCGCTGAACGCTCGCTCGTTCGACACCAGCAGGCGTGTGCATGCATGCATACATCCATCGTGGTAATGAGCTCCTCTACAGCAGCCAGCAGCAGACATTGCAAGAGAGCAGACGTGTCAGAGAGCGGCGGTGGCAGCAGTAGCGGCAGCAGCAGCAGCACCTACCACACCGACAGCACCAGCAGGCCTTCGTCAAGACTTCAAGCGTCCCCGCGAGGAGCTCGCGCAGCCCCAGAAGATCGTCCTTTGCACTGCGGTGGAGGTTTGGACTACCATTCTTCACCCGACACTCCCAAGGCCTCCGCTTCCTCTCGCTCCCAGGATCAAGGCAGTCCCTTACCGCTCCGGCGAACTTTGCGCTCTCAGACCTTCAAGGACGGCTCAAAGTCATCAACAGAGTCCACCGCTGCTCCCCCACCTACACCCAGACGCGGCTTCAAGCCGACAGCTCGCATCCGCTCCGCATCCAAATTTGCAGCAGTTGCGCCTTCTTCCCCAGCTAGCATTCCCGCCTCTGTCTCACCTTCGAGAGCTCACAGCTCTTCGACGGATCGCGAGATGACGGATGGTCCAGCTGGAGGAGTGCGCCCTCCCTCGCGCACGAGCTCTCGACCGCTTTCCACAAATTACTCCATTGGCAACTCCAATGCATCCGAAACGCCTTCCATATCCAGGGCTAAGCATGCCTCGCTGTCTGCGAGCACGTACGGCACCAGCAACAGCGCTGTGCTGGAAGCTAGACGAGCAATTCGTCGAGCAGCAGCACCTCCTCTTTCCACTCCAGCAAGCAGCGCGCGATCCAACACCCCTACGCTGCGCACCATCACTACTCCACGCGCTTCCGCTATGCTGGTGCCGAGTCAGCGTGGAACAAGTCGACCTTCGAGTGCCAATGGCACACCTACAAACGAGTCGACACCTCAATTCAGGCCGGCATCTCCCAACAAGTTCAAGGCCAAAATTACTGATGGATTGTCCTCTCGAAGGGGTATGACGACACCCAGACACAATGCTACAAATCTCGGATTGGGCATCAGTCAGAGATACGTCCCCGCGACCCCTAGCGCTGCTGGTGTGGACACGTCGCGCAAAGGTCGAAGGAGCGCTGCTATCGTCACCGTCCCTGCTGTGGGGGAGTTGGATGATGACATCGGCGACAGCAGCTTCTACTATGAAGACGAAGTCGAGGAGGCAGACGATGACAATGCAAGCGTAAAGGAGAGCGTCATGGTGCATGTGCGGTGAGTATGAGGGGCAAGATAGTCACTGGATCAGTGATCAATGCAAGACGTGACTTGCTGACTCTCGAAGCAACTGTTTCGTCCTTCTGCAGCTTGCGTCCTCCTCGCGCGTCTGAAAAGTGCGCGTGGGTGCCCATGCCCTTCACCTCGACGATGAGCCTTGCACCCGACTTGGCAGCTGCTAGAGTACAGCCAGGTGCCGAAAAGCCCTTCTACTTTGACGGTGTGCACACTGGCTCTTCCAACAGACCCGTGTACGTCTCTGTGGCGAGGCCTCTGGTTCGTGCAGCGCTGGGAGGGTACGATGCGGTAATCTTTGCCTATGGTCAAACAGCCAGCGGCAAGACGTTTACGCTGAGCGGCGACGATGCGGGTACGGAGCCAGGCATCATTCCCAGGGCGGTGCGCGACGTGTTTAGGGGGATCAGTCAGAGCGAACGTACGCGGGAATGGCTCTTGAGAGCCAGCTATTTGGAAATTCACAATGAAACTGTCAAGGACTTGTTGGACCCGGACGCCGTACCTCAAATACGTCAAGACAATAGAAAAGGCGGACGCGGAACCTTTGTAGCACCGCTCAGGGAAGAGGTCGTGACAACGCAGGCTGCTGTGCGCGACCTGCTAGCGAGAGGCCAGGCGAATAGACACGTTGGCGCTACGGACTGGAACGAACGTAGTAGCAGAAGCCACACCTGTAAGTCTGAGCTTCGAATGCTGCTCGCATCATCATTGTGCGCAACTCGTCGCTGACTGCAGAGACAATGCTACGATGTCCTCATCAGGCTTCAAGCTCACAATCGAAAGCTGGGAACGAGATGCAAACGGCTTCGTTGGAGGTCAAGACATTCGGTCTGGCAAAAAGGTCCGCGTCTCGGAGCTTAGCCTGATTGATTTGGCTGGGTCTGAGCGCTACGTCTCTCAGGGAACAGACCGAAGAACTGAAGGAGCAAACATCAACAAGAGCTTGTTGACTTTGGGCAAAGTCATCTACGCATTAGGAGAACGATCCGTCTTGGCCAGTCGAGGCGGCGATGTGCTCAGCCAACACGTGCCGTACAGAGATTCAAAGCTTACGCGCATCCTTCAAAATAGCTTGAGCGGAAACGCTCGAGTGGCTGTGGTGTGCACCGTCAACCCTTCTCCGACGGCTGTCGACGAGAGTCTCAGCACGCTGGCATTTGCGAAGAGGGTGAAAAAGGTCAGCTTGCATGCTCGTCGAAATGAGGTGGATGCGGTAGGCGGGCTGAACGCGGAAGCTCAGGCGCTCTTGGTGAGGTATAGAGACGAAGCGGAAGAGCTTCGTGCTCAGGTGCAGTCCCTTCAAAATGGGACCGGATCCAGCTCTAGAGCTTCGAAAGCCGAAGTTGCAGAAATCACCTTGCGATTGGCAGAGATTCGAGAATGCCACATTCGCGGTGGAGGAGAAGTGGGGGACGAGAGTGATGAGGAATACGAAGCAGAGGTGGATGACGAGGAAGACGAGGTGAGTTTGGCCCGTTGCAGAGTCACGAGTGTTGGTCGGCTCTCGGGTGCAGAGGTGCTGACTAGCCCAAGACGTGCTCCTATGCAGCTGATGGACACAGCGTCGGAGCCACTAGGCGTCGTGCAAGCCAAGCTGCTTGCTGCTTTGACCGAGATTGAAAAGCTACGGCAGCAGCTCGCATCTGTGCCGACATTGCCGGCAGGGTGGAACCCGTCTGACCAATCGATGCAAGAGTCCGTGGTTGCGCGTCTGCAGCAACAAGTACGAGAGCTGGATTTGGTCTGCGAAGCGCAAGACAAGGAGCTGGATCTGATGGCTCAAGAGCCTAGAGCGTTGGCCAAGCGCATCGTGGAGCTGGAAAAGCGAGAGGAAGAAAATCAGAGGCTCATCTCTAGTTTGAATAGGGGTCTGATCAAGTCTAGAAAAGCCAACAACAGGCTTGTGCATCTTGCCAGCAACCAGGTGTCGGCGAGGGTGGACCAGCTGCGTTCGCCCGTCAAGCCGAGCGGGATGAGCGTGGGCGGCGCGTCTCCGGTGCGCGAAAGACGCGCATCCGCCACACCCGCACCCATCGGCGTGACCTTTTCCTCCGGTCTAGCAGACTCGCCAGCAGCAGCAGCGTCCAAAAGGCCGACTTTGGGCACTGTCGGCGCGGCGACTGGCAAGTCTCGTCGATCGGTGAGCCAGGATACGGCTGCTTTTTTGAAGAGGGATCGACGAGACGTTTCGACGGATATGGAGGACTTGACGGGCAAGATCGAAGCGCTCATGACCAACACCAAGAGCAGTAGGTGGTTGACGCAGGATATTGGGGATTTGGAGCACGAGATCCCTCCGATGGATCAGTCGGAAGATATGTCTTTTGCTTGAACCCAAACGACAAAAAGCGAGCAGGCAGGCGTCCCCTTTGGTGCCTGTCTCTCTCTCTCTCTCTCTCTCTCTCTCTCTCTCTCCCTTTCTCAACGAAGCTCCATTCGAATTGCTTTCTCCGAGCAATCCACATACCCCGAACCTTTTTCTTTTGCTGCTCTTTTGAGCATGTCAAATTCTACCGTCTCCTCCTTGCCTCGCTTTGATCGCACTCATCTATTTGAGAGGCTGTGTGTGTGGAGCGTGCGCGTCAGCACGCGCAACGCATCGCTCGACTCGAGCAAGCATCCATGAGAAGATCGAATCGCATGGAGCACTTGATTTTCGTGACCCGGATTGATTGGCTCGAGTACGGCGTAAATACAAAAGTCTCGTCTTTGTTCTTGCAAGATATAAAGGGTCAAATAGACGCTCGGTGGATGAAGCGGGTGGGGCCGGGGACGGAAGACTTGAGACTGGCCAGCCCCCCCTCCCTCCCTCCGAATCGGATGCGAGGGTGTTTATTGGCGAGAGAGAGCTATATAGCGGGGTTTGTGTTTGTCAATTCCCAATTCGCCCGACGCAGCGCAACAGGTGCATTCAGCCCGCGCCACACGTATCCCCCCGCCTCTCCTCATTCTGCCCCTCCCATTTGTACATCCACAGCATTCCCACGCTCCACTTCCTCCTCTGCCGCCGTCTCTTGGCCCAAAGACGCCCCAACAGCAGCATCTTCAAAAGATTGCAAATTCCTCTCCTCCTCCTCCTCCGATTCTTCTCGCATCGCCAAAGAAGCTGCTGCTGCTGCTGCTGCAGGTTGCGCACCCGGCATCGAGATCGTGGGCGCTGGTGCTGCAAGGGACGCATCGATTTCCATTCCATTTGACCCCGAAGGCGTCTCGTTCAAGTGTGCACCTCCTTGCTCAGCGCCTAATTGAGCATCTGCCGCTTCCGCATCCGCATCTCCATCGCCCTCTGCTTCCGCATCTCCACCCGCCTCCCCATCCGCTTCAGCATCCGCATCCGCATCTGCGTCGGCCTCCACATCCGCACCGGCCCCACTGATGCCGGCAAATTCGGGTGCTCCGACTGGATCGCCAGCGGATTGAGACAGCATTGTCGGAGCTGATGGCCCCTCAGCTGATTGCTCAGTCGCATCACCTCCGCTCGCCGGCGCAGGAGCTGAAGCATCGTCGATGGCTGGCTCTTGAGCCTCGGCTTGCGCTTGAGCTTGCGCTTCGGCCTGCGCTTCGGCCTGCGCTTGAGCTGCAGCTTGTAATTGACGAGCCTCTTCGTCCTGTACAGCAGCTCGTGATGACCTATCTCGCTCTCTCGCCTGTTGTCGTTCTTCGGCAGCTGAAGGGATCGAAAGACAAGCTCGTGAGCCATAGCCCCTTCCCACGATCTCCTTTAGCAGTAAGAAGCCAATTTAGCTCTGCTCACCTTCGGGTTCGATGGGCTTGAAACGAAGCTTGGACTCGTAGAATTCAATCATCTGTGCAACGTGAGTCATGAATGATGAATCAGTTCCGTGTGCGTAACGATCTTTGCATTTCCAACGCTGCCTGCGCACCTTTTGAGGACATCGGTGATTCGTGACTGCAGTGGTGTAGCAGTGTCTTTCGCCATTCTCGCTGCATTTAGAACAGGTAGGTTATGCGTTTGGTGAAAAGACTGCTCGTCCAGCTGAACAAAGCACCACGACGACGATGCTGACGACGCATGCCGCATGACGGACGCGCTCGGCCTCTGCTACTCACAATACAAGAAAAGCAGCCAGCTTGCCATCCTCCATCTTTTCAATCGTGTCCACATTCCTCACCACATTTTCCCAATCCGCCAACATTTCGTACTTTCTAGCCTGTCTGATCCTCTTCCTCCTCGCCACCTCGTCTGCGCCGAATCTCGATTCCAGCTCCGCATCATCCATGCCGCTATCATTCTCAATGTCCGAAGGATCGTCTGCGACCACTCTGCTCAGAGCGCCTTGTCTTGCTCTTCTAGCTCTTTTGCCCGCCTCTTTTTGTTCCAAAGCGGCATCAATCGCCGCATTGTGCGCATTCGGCTTTGCCCGTTTGCGCGCATGTTGCTGCGTCGACGCGACAGCAGCAGAGGAAGACATTCCAGGCATGGAAGCGACGGAATGATCCGCTTTGCTCTGTCTACCTTTCTTCTTGCCATTGGCTGTGCTGGAATCGACTTCGCTCTGGAGTGCAGACCCGCTGTAAGGAGTCTTCTTCTTCACCACTTCCACTTTGGACTTGTTGCGCTCCCAATACTCTCGAAGCATATCTGCCGCATTTTCTGCATCCTCCTCTCGCACCCAACAATTCTCTTCCTCCCCATAGCCTTTCCATTTGACAAGGTATGCCAATTTGCCCTGCACAGTCCCCCCCAAACAGTCGATGCGAGTGGAGTCGAGCAGATGCACGGGATTGCAGCGGTCAGTAAAAGGTATCCGTACAAGCTTCCCGCGCACATTCGCATGAACGCCGCCACTTGCCATGCGAGAAGAACGACTCACCTTTTCCAATCTTCCCTTGTCGTGACTGAGGATCGCCTCGATCTCGTACTCATCCTCTGGGATCTCATCTCCTTCCTCCCATTCTCCTTCTTGCTCTCCTTCTTGCTCCTGTTCCATCTCCACATCTCCCCTCCCATTCGCAATTACGGCTTGCCCATTGGTAGGGAGGGACTGGTTGGAAGAGCCACCTGCAATGCCTGCAAAACTGCGCGTAGTTGCGGATGGCATGTTCGATCGATGCGTGCGAGGAGCGGCCAAGATGCGCTCGCTCGCTCGACCTTTGGATGCGTATCGTCAAGGTTGCCCCAAATTAGGCAGAGAATAAGAAAGCAGTTGGGGCTTTGTGCAGATGCATGATTCGGGGAAGCGGTAAATCGTGATGGTTGGTGGTTGCGGCCCTTCTGTCAAGCAGCCATCGCTCGATCGTTTCATTCCGTGCTTTCGAGATTCATCCAGCGGCAGGCTGCAGTTCGCGACACATCAATCAGCACGACGCGCCCTCGATCGCGCTGCATGCCATGCACACTGCTGCCGTCACGTGCAGCATGGCGACCAGCAAAGCTTTAAGCGGGAAGCGTGACCCCGCGGTCACGACACGTGAGCCCGTGTGAAACAAAATCTGAATTCTGAAACTCTTGACTTGACTGATATGAAATCACAAATGAATTTGTGAATCAAATGTTGAATGGTGGTCTCACAAGAGACTTGACTATTTCTTCCCTCGATCGAGATGCGATCTTTTGCGTCACCACTTCTTCGTGGGCGCACGAGTTGCCTCAGGTTCAATCGTCTATCTATCTGAAGAGAAAGCAGATTCATGAGGCTCGCCTCTCCCTGCTAGGTCGAGGATCGCGGCAGAGGTCAAAACGCATCCACGGGACACGGGTGGGTGGAGCGGGAGCCGTCGATCGTGCGAACGAGGCAGAGCCTTCGTTGCCAGGATTGCGTGTGGCGCGAAGTTATCTGGATGGGGGCAAAGATCGCTCGCTATACGTCTAGCTAGACTGCTCTCTCTTCTCTTCAAGCCTGCTCGAGCTTGACACTTGTCCAAAACCCCCCGTTTCAAGTTTCACAGCATCGACATCTGTCGAGACTTTTCTCATCCGCCCACGTCTAGGACGTTATTTGTGCACCTCCCGCAACCCACCCATTCCCATACTGTCCTGCCGCTCTCCCTCCCCCGTCGGTCCATATTTGTAGCAATGGACCACATCGAAGCGAAAGCGTCGTGGCCACCGTCAAGTCTGTCTGGTCGGTTCCCCACAACCTGCACCAATGTCATTCGAGCGCATACAGGGCCCATCAACGCCGCGCTCTTCAACAGTCGATCCGCCTACATCCTCAGCGCCTCCTCCGACCGACAAGTACGTCTCTTCTCCACTCGTTCGCCTCCTGCATCGAGCATATCCCCCGAATCAAGCTTGGGAGTGATTGCAAAAAAGGGAAAAGTAGACGAAGGGATCAAGACGTACGATTCTGCCAATAATGCCGTCTTGGCATTAGCATTGGCACCTTCTGACAAGATTTTCGCTCAAGCTGGAATGGATCGTAGCGTGAATGTTGTGGATGTGCAGAGCGGTGGTGTGGTGAGGAGATTCAACGCACATACAGGAGCTGTACACGCCCTGGCTTTTGCTGGTGCTTCTTCTTCTTCTTCTTCCACCAACAACAACAATCCCGGCGCACCCGGCTTGACAGGGGGAGATTCGCTCTTGCTCGCCGCTGGCTTTGATGCTAGGTGTCGCTTGTACGACCTAAGGGCTAGCGGTGCTTGGAAACCCATCATGGAGCTCAAAGAATCCAAGGACACGATCTTTTGCTTGGATGTGAGCGGAGGAATCTTCAGGACTGCTGGAATGGAAGGGGTTGTGAGGACGTACGATGCGAGGATGGGTCAGATGACAGAAGACGTAGCAGCCGGTGAGTTTAGCCTGACGATGTCCCCATCCTCCCCCCACCTTTTTCCCGCGATATTCGATCGATGCGGGTTCCCTCCAAGCACGCGCAATCTCGCTCATGCTACGCACATTCATGCCCTTTGCAGCTCCTATCGTCTCGCTATCCTCTACATCGACATCTCTGCTCATCTCCACTTCTTCTCAGCGAAGAGCAGCCCATCACCTCCTCTCCACAAGCGATGGGACTTTGCAAAAGACCCTCATAGGTCACCAACAATCCAATCCAAAATCTCCCTTTCGATCCATCTTTGTGCGCCCTGTCAAGAACACCGCCGCTGCTGCTGCTGCTGACCCAATAGGAGTTCTGAGCGGCTCCGAGCAAGCGGGTCCCCTACTTTGGAAGCTAAACTCTAATTCGAGCGCAACGGCTGCTGCGACTCGCACTGCAGATGCACGAGAAGGAAGTGCGGCAGAATATCCGACGGGCTCTGCTTGTTTGGGCGTGGATCAGGCTAGGGATGGCTCGTTGTGCAGCTATCATCAAGACGGAACGATTCGAATCTGGCGAATGGACGGCAATTCTTAGTGGAGCAGTTCGAGCATCGAGATGCGGCGCAAGAATGATGTACCCCCCTCGAAGGTTTGTAGCGGGGTGCGATGCATCTGGATTGTCTGTGAGAGCTTGGCGCGCATAGTCAAGCATTAAGTAAACGCGCCTCTCTGTCGCTCTCAAAGGCATGTCAAGTCCACTCTCACGAGCTAGCAACCGGATCAGGTCTCCACCAGCTTGGCGCAACTTCTATTCTCAATGCGCAACGCAACTGCAGTCGGGGGGGGGGGGGGGGGGGGGGGG